TTAACATTAGGTATATTTTTTCTATATAAACAATTTAATAGTTAAATTACATTTATACACATAATATATTTTTTTATATACAGGCATGCAATTAATAAGAAATGCAATAGTTAAATTACAATTATGTACATGACATTATACTTTTTTTTAAAATAAACAATTAATCAGGTAAAAATACAATAGTTAAAATACAACGATGAAGGGACATGACATAATATAATGGTATAAAAATTTAGTAGTAAAAATATTCATAGATACAGTCAAGTAATATTATAAAAATTTAAAAAAACCAGTAACTATAATTTGTAAAATAACGTAAGAAAATCGAAAAAAAACATGCTTACCTACATAAATACATATAATATTAATACATAAAAAATGAAATATGGTAGATTAATTAACAAAAATTGAACGTACATACACAAAGTAAAGTTAAAATAATAATAATAGTAAAGAGAAAAGATCGGAAATTTGTAAAATTACGGGAAAAAAATGCAAAAAATATTCGGGATCCGGGCGGCCGTGTAAACCATATGGAAATGACCACAACGACGCCCCGAAAGTGTACGACGGGGATTCGAACCCGGGACCTACGTGTAATCTACCTAACGCCTAACCTACTCGGACACAATTTGAGATATGAATTACGGTCAAAACATCAACAGTTAAGCCGTGCGTCTACGGAGCGACGTAAGCCGATATATTCGATGTTCATCGATGTAATCGCATATAATTCGCTTGTAATACACGCATCTCCCATATATATATTTAACGGAGCGAGTGAAAAGCATTTTCCGTTAATAATTAATAATTAATAATCAATAGGCAAAAATTAAATTATACACGTACATACATGTATATATACGCGTACGGTCGGTCGTAATTTCTAAACGCGATTGCGAAGCGAACCGACCGATTTCGTAAGAAAAGCGTATATATACCGGCTTTAGAAAGACGTCAATTACACGATTCGGGCACGAACGACGTGCGAAAAGACGAAACTGTCGGAGAAAACGAAAGAAATCGGCAAAAAAGTCCGGCCGGGAGCGTATTTTGCGATCGACATTGCGACGGCTACGGACGGCGAACGGATATAAACCGCACACCGGCGGCTTCGAGAGATCGCGAGCTACGCGAATCAAATATGAATATGAGCGAAAAAGGCTAGAAAACGGTCGAAATCGTGTAAAAAGTGTAAATTTCGAAAATTTCGAAAATGATAAGAAAAGAAGTGATAACGCGGTTATTGCCCGCCGCAGAATCTGAACGTTGCGATTGGCCGGGCCGGAAAAACGACACAAAAGTCGTCTATCCCCGTGGAAAAAACTGGGGACTAACCTCGTTTTATAATATAAGAGATGATGACTAGATTCCGGTGTTTGTCATCCCGCCTACGGCGGAAAGACTGTGTGGGCGGTGGTGCATCTTTGTCGGCGATGCTGGGTTTTATGATCCGGGCCTGCGGCGTGAAGGGGGGGGGTTCGGCGGGTATTGTGTTTTGTCGTGTTGGCAGCACTGGTTAAGCGGTAATTTTGAACTCGGAAGAGTGTCTAGTCGTAAGTCACGCGATTCAAGTCGATCGTACGACACAGCCGGCCAGGTAGGCAATCCGACTACGTCGGATCGCAGACCATGCCCCGGGCGTATATGTCCGGTTCTTGAGTGTGTGTGTTGAAATCGGAAAAATTCGGATTCTGAGTTTGAGTGTCTAGCTATCAGTCATCTCGGGTGAAAGTCGCTTCCCGAGTGTCGGATGCAGTGGGGGTGTAAGTCGCTCGTATGTAAGTAGCTAGTTAGGTAGACAATCCAACTACGTCGGATCGCAGACCATGCACTGGGCGTGTATGCCTGGTTCTGGAGTGTGTGTGTTGAAATCGGAAATTCGGATTCTGGGTTTGAGTGTCTAGCTATCAGTCATCTCGGGTGAAAGTCGCTTCCCGAGTGTCGGATGCAGTGGGGGTGTAAGTCGCTCGTATGTAAGTAGCTAGTCAGGTAGACAATCCGACTACGTCGGATCGTAGACCATGCACCGGGCGTGTATGTCCGGTTCTGGAGTGTGTGTGTTGAAATCGGAAATTCGGGTTCTGAGTTTGAGTGTCTAGCTATCGTCTATCAGTCATCTCGGGTGAAAGTCGATTCCCGAACGGACAATCCGCCTACAGCGAAAAGTGCTCGAAACGGCCATTCAAATCTGATAAAGCATACAGGAGGTAATAAAATTGTATTTTTTTTATAATTATAGAGAACAGTTATCAGGTGTTTTATGTTAGGCTTCATTGTAATCATTGTAATCATTGTTATGTTTTCGCGGTTATAACAAATAACTAATAAGTCGAAAAAATCTAATTTTCTGATTGGATATTTTCTAAAATATACCTACCATGTATATTTATTTAATTATGAGAATTAAATCAAATTAACAAATAGATAATTATATTGGTGAATAACAAAATTTATTGAAATGTAATACTATCCTATTAAACGTAGGTATGTATAAATGAATACACTATACAATTTTTTGGCACTTATCTTCGTAAGTACCTACTATCATAATATTTTGCTGTTATATTGTATGACTGTATACAATATATGATGTACCTACCTACCAATTTATTAAATGTCATTTGATATTTATGATGTTTTAAATTATTTAGTAATTATAATTGCTTAATTATAATGGTGCATCACTGTGTTATGACTTATGTATTATGTGTATGAAAGTGTGTATGAAAAAATCAAACTTTTTGTCGCATATTTTCATTTCCGTATAAAGTAATAACAACACTGTCCGCTCCCCGATCTCCTCCGCGGAACTCGACTCGAGCGAAGTACTGACGACGGTGGCTTATAAATTTAGCGGGGAATGCCAATAATATCCAAACAGGCAGGGTAATATCACTAAAACGGTCCAAGAAACGAATTTTATAAAAAAACAGCAAAAAACGACGCGAGGCATGTATTTATTGCTGTATATAGCGATACTTACACGGTACCTACTCCCTTTTCCGCGACGCCACTCTTTCCCGGGACTCGTCTGTGAAAAAGTAGGGCCGCGCACCGTCTAACCTCGTAAACCTCAAAAATGTTGAAAAAAATTTGTGAAAAATGGTCAAAACCGTGAAAAGTGATAAGGATAAAAAATAACGCAGCGACGGCTCCGCAAAAAACGACGCGACGCATAATATATACAATACAATACACGGTACCCGCTCTCGTTTAAGCGCCGCCGCTCCTCGCCGGGACTCGTTTTTGAAAAAGTAGGGCCGCGCGCCGGCTATAAATTTAGCGGGGAACTCGAATAAGTCGTCGACGGGGAGGGTGATACGACCGAAAGGGGCTGAAACTCGAATTTTCGAAAAAAACGGCAAATGGAGCAGTCATATAGTAGTACTATTTTTTAATATAGTTTATTAATATTGTATTAAACAGTATTTATAATCTGTAGCAGTATTTAATATATCAAGTAGGTACTACATTATAATTATATTGTAGGTTGGTCACGGTAAAATCAAGTATTAATTAAATGTTAATTATTATTTTTTTGCAAAATAAATATAGTCAAACGAATAATCTAAATCTATAAAACAGAAACACGAGTGGCGCCGCCTATGTGTTAAATCCGAACTGCTATAGTGAACAATGGAACGGATGGCGGGAAATCGCGGCGGCGGAGCCGTCGCTGCGTTATCACTCCTCCTTATCGCTTTTCGCGGTTTCGACCGTCTTTCACGATTTTTTTTCAAAATTTTCGAGTTTTACCCCCCTCGGAGGCCTCGGGCGGCCCCGTTCGGACCTTATTCGCGTTCCTCGGTAAATTTATAGTCGGCGCGCTGCCCTACTTTTCGCCCGGCGGGCCCGCGGCGGCGGATGTCGCGTGCGATTCGAGCGTCGCCGTCGCGCGCGTTTTTTGCCGTTTTTTTCGAAAATTCGAGTTTTAGGCGTTTTAGGGCGTATCGACCTCCCCGTTCGGATCTTATTCGCGTTCCCCGCTAAATTTACAGTCGGCGCGCGGCCCTTCCTTTTTATAATCCAGTCCCGGGGAGAAGCGGCGTCGCTTAAACGAGAGTAGGTACCGCTGTATACAGGCATAAATACATGCCTCTCGAAGTTAACGCGGCTTAAGGGTCATAGATTTGACTCCGTTCTTCATCTCAGTAGGTGGCCAGGTAGGTTAGGCGTTAGAGCAGGTGACACGAGGGTCGTGGTTTCGAACCCGCCGCCGGGATTTTCGATTATTTGCGGCGGCCGTGTTAAATTGTTTTTTTTTTCCCGTCATAAAAGTATGATTTTCAAAATTTTTCAAAATTCGAGTTTTACCGCCCTTACGCACTTCGTTAGGATTTCGCCCGTTATTCCCGTAATAGATTTATATTTTACGCGATTTTTAATATATTAATGTTTGTTTAGTGTCTTATTATATCCATTAATATATATTTATTACATTTTCAATGATGTGTAGGTACTGCGTTATGACTTATGAATTATGATTCATGTCCTGTGTGCACACATGTTATATTATAGGTATATAGGTATTGTGTTATTGTGTAGGTATGTGTTTAATGTTTATGCATACGTGTGTAATATTACGAATTAGGAGCGACACTGGGCGCGATACTCTCTACGTACGATCGTTATTATAAATACGTCATGAAGGTTCGACGCGGTATTCCACGCACCAACATGATGTTAGACCCGTGGTTCCAATATTATAATATTTTGGTGGGATACAGTACGCGGGGTCGGCTTACACTCGAACTTAGGTGGAGTGGAGCCGCGGGGGGACAACTTTGGCCATAGGCGTAATCTGGGGTAAAATCTTGGGGGGGCAGTTTATGGTACAACTAAAATTATAAAAGGTAGGTTGGAAAATGGTGGCTTTTCTTCTCCCAATAAATAAATAAATAAATAAATCAGTAAGCATTATATTTATTAGTTACTAGTTAGTAATAGACAACGTTAAAATATTATAAATGAATAAACAACAATATAATTTAGTAATTTTATCTCAATACAAGCCGTCGACCACGAATTGGTGCACCTTCGTCAAATTCATTTATTACTTGATCAAAATCAACTTCTCTATCTCTTTCAATGTATAGAGTAGCGATACTACTCAGTCTTGTTTGGCCCATAGTAAGCCGTAGATATGTTTTTAGTTTCTTCAACGAAGAGAAACTTCTTTCATTTGAAGCTGTGTTTGTAGGTATTGACAAAAATATAGTTAAACATTTGCTATAATTTTCAAATCCACCTTTCAAATTATTTTTATTGAAAAAATCAATTCTATTTTCCAATGAATCTTTTATTTCACTGTTTTTTAACATTTTGTTTAAAATAGACAGCTCTCCTTTTAATTCTACTTCGGTTAAACTGTATGTTGTACATACTCTTTTAATAACGTCATTCGATGGGTTTTCTTCACATAGTACATCATATAATGCTTGTAGGATATCAAGATCATTTTCAGAAAAACGATTTGATATATCGTTGATTAATAAATCTAAAAGAGGGAAGAAAAAGTTAATTTTAAAATAGTGTTGAACATCTTGGTATACTGCTTGTTTGGCACCTCCACCGTGTCTATTTGGAACTTTGGACATTCTAGGAATCTTAGGAGTATCTAATTTATTTTGATCACAAACAGTTTTTGAAAGTATCCATAATTCATTAAATTTTGAATCACACCTATAATCCTTTAAAGACTCAATTGTATGCATAGCCATATCTTTAACAGTTGCATAGTTATTTTTTGGTGACTGTAAATATAAATTTAATACATTAGTCAAACCTAAAATTTCCCTAAGAACATGGAGACAAAATATAAACTCAAAGTTCTTGACACATCGTGAAAGTGAAGCTGCATCAGAACCAGAATGTGTATCTATGCTTTCTATTTCCAAAAGAGTTTGAAATATAGTCTCCAGATTTTCAAGAACAGATTTTATAGCTTCAATTCTACAATTCCAACGAGTATCACTGAGTGATTTTAATGTTTTTTTTTATTTTTTTTAAATCTTCTTGCACTTTTTGATTGTCAATATTTGAATGATCTGGAATTGTTTTATTTTCTGCATTTGATTCTTGTACTTTTTTGAAAATAGCATATCTTTTTGAAGATGCCTTTATAAAATTATGAAGAGTTGATAAAGTTCCAAAAGTATTTCTTACCATTGGTACAGACTTAGCTAAATCAACTATACATAGATTGAGTATATGTGCATAACAATGCACATATAGTGCTAATGGATTTTCTTCTTTTATTCTACTTTGCACACCACTGTAGGATCCTCTCATCGACGCAGCACCATCATAGCATTGACCTCTAACATTATTTAAATCTATTCCATAAGAATTTAATACATTTTTAATTAGATTAGTTAAAGCTAATACATCAGTTGTATTTGTTTTAAAAAAACCTAAAAATACTTCATGTGGGACAAAATGTTGATCAACGTATCGGATATAAATAGAAACTTGTTCATGATAACTCAAATCTTGAGTTTCATCCACCAAAATACTGTAAAAGCCATTACTTTGAATATCTTTTATGATGGATTTTTTAATGCTATCTGCCATATATTTTAAAAATAAATTTTGGTATTCAGGATTTGTATAGGTAAATGACATTTCTTTTTCGATATAATATTTATGAATAATTGCATTATCGTGTGCTCTCAATTTTAAAAGTTCGAGAAAATTTCCACAATTTGTTGACATTTCTGTTTCATTGTGTCCTCTCATTGCTATACCTTGTCTTGCACAAAACAAAAGGGTTTTTAATAGACATCTAATATATTCTCGGTTCTGAGTTACAGAATTCTTATGTGCTAAATTCAATTCAGAAATCACTGATCCATTCTTTTTAGAAAACGTATAACTTGACAATTTGCATGTAGACTCTTTGTGTGCATTACATTTTTGGTGTTGAGTAAATTTCTCTATTCCTTTCTTCCAATTTTTAAAACCAACATTAGTGAAAGTCTTTTCTGCATTTTTCGATGGAAATACTCTACAATTGAAACAAAAAGCTGCTTGTAAATGCTCACTGAACTCAATCTATGGGAATTGGCTATACCATTCAGTTCTAAATGATCTACCATTTATCTTGATAAATTCAACATCTATTGGTTGGTAAGGACCATAATTTTCAATAAATAATGTAAATGCTGTTGATGTTTTACTAGCAGGATCACGCACTGGTATATTATTAGCCATACAATTACCATCTATTTAAAATAACAATAATAATAATAATAATAATATAAGATAATTCTTGTTTCTGAGGTTAGTAATGTATAATATTAATTGAATATTTATAATGTTAAAATTATTAAATTTAAAATAATAATAAATAAGCAACAATCTACTTTCTATATATCCTTAAACCCTTAGTAATTAATTTACATGCAAAACTAATTAATATATTATTAACTGTTATATAAATATTTATATAATATACAATATACTTATATAATTAATTGTTTTTAATTTGTATTAACTTACTTTATTAACTTGATTTATTTGATCAATGATTAATGAATAATTATAATTAATTAACACATAAATCATAGACAACAATTAACACAATACACAAACATAGAGTTTTTGGGACTAACTAATAAACAAAAACATCAAATTATCTGAGATTATTAGTATTATTTTTAACTGTACCAAACATCCATAAAATTCATAAATATTTAAATGTTAAAATAATACACTTTTGAATAACATAAATTAATATCAAATATTACCAAGGTTACCTACCTTCTAAAATATTGATAATTTCTTGAGAATTTGATACTTCTGTCAATGTATTTTTCTGACTGGTATGATCTAAAAACAAGATAATATAATAGGCATAATATTATTTAATTTATAATTTATATAATTTAATTATATTGAATACCTTCTAAAATATTATTTATTTCTTGAGAAACTGATGTAGTGGCTATTGGTACACTTGTTTGATTGGTCTGATCTAAAAAAAATGTTTATAACACAAATAAAAAATGATAAAATAATAATAACTTGACATTTTGACTTACCATTATTACCTGATACTTTTATAAAAAAGTCACCAATGGTTTTTCTTTTCATATTTGTAAAAATTAAAAACACAATAACAAATATTAAATAACAATTGTATACTTATTTCAATATTTGTATATCAATTATCAAATCAAACAACTAATTCGACAACATTAGAACAATTCTTCCAAAATCCAAAATAAAACAATATAATGATAAGCACTGTCTGAAAAATGATAAGAGTGTTTTATGGCGGTTACCACTCTTACTCTGTTTACTGAGCAATGCGGCATAGACCTGAGGTTAGATCTTTGCAATGTGGGCATAAGTAATTTACAATTTTTTTTCTTATATTGGCGTCACTGCTGGATCACTAGTATGGTTTAAACATCCTTATCATTTTTAACTATTTTGGAAAATTTGGCCCCAAATAAAAATTTAAATTAAACTTATGACAGGGGGGGCAAAAAGACACTATTGCCCCCTCAATGAAATATCTGGGGGGGCAGTTGCCCACCCTTGCCCCCCCAGATTACGCCTATGACTTTGGCGACGCGAAACGCACAACCTGCAGGACGCCTCAACTCGTGACCGGCGCTCTTGCAACGCACATCAACCCGGAAAAGCCCAATACATTTATACGTTGTATTATATTATATTATTATAATTCGGTGCTTTTCTTGGAATTTTTGCTTTTTGCATTGGGCGCTTTTCACATACCGGTGAGTACGACTTTTATATCTCCTACAATAATAATAATATAATATATTAAGATAAACTACAGGTGTATTCATGGCAGCGTGTATTGCGAACGAACATATTTTCACCACGTTTTTCGTCATTCGTTTTCCGCGCGTTTCGTGTTTTTTCGTACACCGCAAAATGTACTTTGAATACCTATAACGTTTTTTGTATCCGCATTCGTATTAGCTGTGAGAGGTGTAGACGCGTAAGTCCGTTGGCCGTTTCGGCGCGTTACCACGTGTTTTATCGCTTGGAATTTTGCGTTAATAAAAAGCTGGGTACCTATGTAATTTTTCGTATTTTTCTATTTTGTATGTACATCACGTAAGCCGGTGTGTACCTATTATTTCTAAAAATGACACACGAGTCGCCAAGTGTCTTACATCACCGCTGATACCGAACTGACACCGTCGTCCGTCATTATAATATTCGATTCTAACGAGTATTTACTTTTTACTTATTATTATACTTATAATATAGACTATTCAAAATGGTCAAACGCTGCGTCATCTGCGGAATCGTGGACAACATTGATGGCGTTTCAGTACATGGGTATTTACAATTATTTTACACATCACGTTGATGCATAGCAATGTAATAAAATCAATAATATGTCACCTTTAGATTTCCAACAATCGACGTGCGTCGTGATGAGTGGATGGCATTTGTGGTGAACAGCGGTTTTCCTGTGACCGTCAGATCGAAGCTGTGTTCGAGGCATTTCGTTCCGGGTGTTGACTACACTGCAGGAAATGCACAACGCCGACGTCTGCGGCACACGGCAGTGCCGTCTTTGGTGAGTGTAGAAATCATAATATGTTCAATAAATAATGTTCAAGTAAACCGTGACAGTTACACTTTGTCACTAATACTTTTGTGTACTCTCGTGAGCTTAATGTACCTACTGTGTATGGTTAGCAACCTAACTTAATTTAATAACTCAACTCAATGACATTCAACGTTTTTGTTGCAACATAATACATATAAGGTCACAAAAAGTACCTACTGTTTAATACACGATAGCAAGTGATATCATCATGATATTACAATAATATACAACACATTTTACAATATGGGAATTACTTAATATAGTGTTTTTTTAGATAGTGCAGCCCACTTTTTAATTATCATTCGACAAAAATGTCTGCAGTGCTAATTTAATTTCATTTGTTTACTTTTATTACATAGTATGTAATTATCAAAGAGTAGTATAATATACGGTTTAAATTCCTTACATGTTGTTTCTGGACCTACTTATACTTTTCCATACTTCTATACTATACTGGCATATTATAATTGTATATAAATTGAATTGTAGAACGACATTCAACTGTGTTACTGCTGTTTCTGGTTTCAATTGCATATCAAACCCTGGGTCAAGCTTATTTTAATATCTACATTAAATTATAACTATACTAATATATCAACTTTTACTATGAGTATATTGACCTAAACAGAACACTTAACGTTTTCTTACACAGTTCTCAATATTACTACTATTACTACTACTACTACTTACTTAGTACCTAGGTCTACTCTCCTTTATTTGTAAGTACCAATGATATCATTTCACATCCAATGACAATAAGTAGTGTCTAACCTACGGTTGAAATTTGTTACATGCTTAATTATTCACTGTGCTCTTAGATACATATTATATGCATTGTTTCTGTACACAACTCTTTGTGAATTGTATACTGGATAAGTATTTTATCATTTCACATATTGTCTTATTGTTAGCAATTTATACAACTAACTTTGTTTGTACTACAGTGTAACATATTTACTACTATATTCTTCTTTTTATTGTTGGAAGTTAAAATTCTGTATTAAATTACACTTTATTTTTATTCATTTTGTTAAAATGATAAACTGTATATCCACTCCTACGAAATAGGTAGTGTAAGTCACAGTTAACTCTCTGTTGGGTATTTACAACCAATGAACAAAATAATACTACTACTACTACTACTTACTACTGACCTAGGTATACTCTCCTTTGTTTGTAAGTTGTGTACTAGATACGCATTTTATCATTTAACATGTGGTACTCTTAGAAATGTTTTTATTATTTCAAAAGTTAATACAATAGATTTGTTTACGTTTATTCCGTGTTAATATTCACTGTGATCTTAGATACATAGATATTATATAAATTGTTTCTGTACATAACTTAGGTTACTCTGCTGTACCTACTTATACTTTACAATACTGTACTGGCTCGGTACAACATTCTTGAAAACTAAATGTCTATTTTATCATAAGAATTCCATTCAGCTTATTATATTATAATTGTATGTAAAGAATAACTTGAACGACATTCAATTGTGTTGCCACTGTTTCAGATTTCAGTTGCATAACAAACGCTGGGTCAAGCTCATACATTGACTAAAATTTGATACCTACATTAACTTACAACTATACTTATATATCAACTTTGACCTAAACAGGATACTTCACGTTTTGCTATATAAATTAACATTTTCTTAATGTTACTACTACACAAAGTAGGGGTATTACTAGGCTCTTTACTAAACACCTTTTTTTGGTGAATTGTGTAGGTATTGGATAAGTGTTTTATTGTAGTGTCCATCACTTTCTCTACTTCATTTATACAACTAACTTTATTTGTTACACAGTGTAACATATTATTTACTACTGATGTGTGTTATTTGATACATAGTGGTGATAGATATAGGTGTACTTGATTTTATCACATTAAAGACCATGTATGATTTTATTAGTGTAACATAAACCTTACATTCTACTTATCGTGTAATAATTTCATATAAACGCACTTATTGCACATGAGCGCATACACTTACTGTTATGTATGAACACACAACCATTAAAAGTTCAACTCACCGTATTTTAACTTTTATAATGGGTACTAGGTACTAAAAATTTAGGTTAGGTTAGGTCATTTGTTAGTTGTGTACTAGATAATATGTAGTACTCTTAGCAATAACACTTACTGTTATACAGTGCAATACGTTTTTACAATATTTCAAAGTCATTGTTGTTAGAAAGATTATAACTATGTATGAATGCGCAACCAATTATACATTCTTCAGTGAGTTTCTTTGTTTTTTGATTGGCTCTTGATTTTAAAGTTAAAATTCAGTTTATCTGTTTACTACGATGACAATTGTAGATTATACTACGATGTAAAAGATTGTATTAATGTTAGGTTAAGCTTTGAGTATTGATTTGACGTTCATTACAAAAAAAAAATATTAGATATTTAATATTGTACCTACTATAAACTCAAGTTAAAACTATCAAGTTATTGTTGTTGGATTTAATAGTTCATTCAACCAAACATAAGTGTTTTATCATAATGTTCAATACATTCTTTACTTTATTTGTAGTGGTGATGATAGATATATGTGTACTTGATCTTATCACATTGAAGACTCTTTGAAATTAGTGTAACATAAACC